TGTTGTCGTCTCCTCTTGTTGCACTAATGGAGGACCAAGTGAGGGAGGCAGAGAGGTTAGGAGTTGGTGCTGGGCAGCTCGGCGTGCACGATGATCACTGTACAGCATTTGCGGCAGATCCGAAACGACCGCAGCGGCGTATTGTTAATGATTACACCCAGCTTCGACAGTTGACTGAATACATCACTGTCCTTAGTGTCAAATATACATTTAGAATTGTTCCTTGAACTCTTAAATTCGATGAACAAAACATGCAGCTCTCGTTGACAGACATCTTATTCTATAATCCTCTGATCATTCGGACTTGTTTTTTTTTATTGCTTAAAACAATACACAAGTAATAACAGAAAACATAATACAAAAACAAACAAAAAATAATAATAAAAACAAAAATAAAACAGTAGGGGGATAATATAAAATAAACATGAACAAGTTAAGAGAATTACATGACACTGAAAAAAGGAAAATAATTACAAACAGATAATGTTTTTAAGGCTTTTTTTTGTTCTCAGACAACTTAATTGAAAAGAGGTATTTTTAAAATTCTTTCACAAATATAAGAAAGAGAGGTTTAGCATTTAGATATTTAGATTTATGAATATGGAATTCGGACTTGTTGTTTCCAGCCGGTTTCGGCGCATGACATACGTCACGACCACACGTTAGCGATTGGCTATGGCAGATCCTGAGTGACGCTGGGCAGATCCAATAGTTTTGATCTTTAACAGAGAACCCGCCTACAAGGAAGTAAACGTTTCTCAATGGAGCGAGGCCAGACTCTCTGTACAAATGAAATGTACGAGAGTCTGGTAGAACCAGGCTAGGGTTACACCCCTACTCTTTCGAAAGACATCCTGGGATTTTTAATGACCACTGAGAGTCAAGACCTCGGTTTAACGTCCCATCCGAAGAAGGACGGATATAAAATACAAATGTTACAAAACATTTTTTACTATAAAATTACTATAAATTCAAAGCCATATGTCTAACCAAGTTGTGTTCCAAATTTATAGTTGATATCACAAAAGGTCCTATGCAGAGCCGATCCGCCCTATACGCTCACTACGCAAGCTGCGTAGGGCCCCGCAAATTACTCAAGGCCCCGCCTCCCCCTCGTGTCATAGCGCGTCAATTAATGTTTACAACATCAATGACAAAATGAAGCGAAACTATCCTTCTGGTCACAAAAAGAGGGGGGAAAAACATGAGTGAATTGCGGAAACAACAATCAGGTAAACTTGTGTTCTCTCCTCTCCAAGTTTGATGTCAGCAAAGTAAAGTTAAGTTTATGTGCATTTCTATTGTGTTTTTTAAAGTGCAACGGCTCGGAAAAGATAACCGCGTCGCGTGTGTTATCATACGTTCATATGCGCGTGCACGAAATGAAACGCGCATTTTTCAAGCAGAAATATATGTGGAGAGAGACCAGACATACTGTAGCCTACAATATTTGGGCCTGAATGATGACACTCCTCATCAAATTACACATTATACATACTTTTAAAACAAGACACTGATTATCTAGTCTCAGTCAATGTGTAGTTAAAAACTCTAAACAACTGCTTATGCAAGATGGAAAGCAATGTATTGACAATTTGACATTGATTGACTATTGATTTATAGGCTATATTGAATTTAAAATGTTGATTAGCTGGACATACTGGTCAATATGGATGCACATCCCTCAGTAAATAATAACCATAAATCAAGAATTGCTTCAACATGCATACTAAAACAAACCTTTAACATATGGCAAGCCATTTTAGCTTTTATTCATTCACAGTTTATGCATTTTTTATATCAAGAATTCATTTTTTTTTTTTACTATTTGCAATGTGAATTCTTGATTATTTTTTACTAGTAGGGCCCCTTAGTTACATTTTTATCTACCAATGTCTATTTCTGATATCAGGAATTACATGTTCACTTGTACAAAAGTTAATTCTTGATTTCAATGATGTCATCACTCACAGGGATTATTGATATCTGCAACACAATATTCACTTGTTATCTTAATATTCTATAGAAAATACTCTATTCAATAAATATCATTCTGTTCTATATTATTGTACTTATTCTTTGACTGTTTGGTTTAAAGGAGGGAGGATTGTATTGGGAGAACTGAAGTGTCAGGTGTGACTGTGGCAATGGCAAATGGTTTACATAGCTCACGGCTTCACGGGTCAGGTAGAGGGCCCCTTAGCAGAATTTAGCTTAGGGCCCCAGGGAGGTCAGGATCGGCACTGGTCCTATGAGAATGTGTTCAGGCATAATACCAAGAATAGACACCGGGTATCACTCACATGCCATTGAATTTTGATTTGATGCATTCTCCTGTAACAAATTAATACATTTCTGTCCAAATATCACTTCTATCACAAAATATGGAACCTTGAGACACAGGCCTTTCCGATGATATGTGTCCCACTAGGGTGACAGTTACTGAAAATATTCCTATAATGGTTGGATCCTCTGCATAAAGAGCCATTCAGGTTTGTAAAAAAAAAAACATTGGGATGTTTACAATATTATGCTGCATGATAATTATTTATTAAGCTTAATAATGCAATCATGCATTGCTGTAAATGAATTTTAGATTATGTGATTGCTGTTTACTTTTACATAGCCTATGTTTTTTTTTGCCAGCACTTTTTTCTGTGCCCTATGAGAAGGTTATATTAGCCTACTGAATAAACGTTTGGAATCAGTAAGATTTTTGAAAGAAGTCTCTTATGCTCAACAAGGCTGCATTTATCTGGTCAACATACAGTAAAACAATAATATTGTGAAATATTATTACAACTTAAAGTAGCTGTATGTAAGATTGTGGCCAAAATTGGTACTGCAATCACTTTCAAATTACTGTAGAGCGGTGCATCCCCTCCCCCTCCCCCCTGACTCGAGGTTGCCAGATAGGCTGCAGGATCCAGCAGGAACATAGGCTGCTACAAGGAGCTTTCAACTAGAGCAGAGCTGGCAACCCGGATGCCGAAACACTACTGACTTCGTGATTGGTAGATAGGTGGAGGGTGGGGCTTCAGGCCAAAACACAAGATGACAACATCAACATCAGTTGAGGGCTGCAACTTTACTTTTTAAATGACAATATCGTGGCCGTACTACTGTTGTCAGTGATATAAGTATTTGAAATGAACATGATTTCTTAATATCTAGAGACACATCAGGGCCATTTTATGATTAATTGAAATACATTTCTTACATACAGCTCCTTTAAAAATAACATTTTAAAATGTCATATATTCCTGTTGGCAAAGCTGAATTTACAGCATCATTACTCCAGTCTTCAGTGTCACACGATCCTTCATAAATCATTCTATTATGCTGATTTGATGCTCAAGAAACATTTTATTATTATTCTTATAAATGTTGAATCAGTTGAAACAAGAAACCATGATGCATTTTTTTCCAGTTAGCTCCAAAGAACAGCATTTATTTGAAATCTTTTGTAACATCATGAATGTCTTTACTGTCACTTTTGAGAAATGTAACGCATCCTTTTGCTGAATAAAAGTATTAAAAATACCTTGCTGAATAATATATTGAATATTGTAAGTCCAATTGCCCTCCATTTTTCCCTAAAGCGATCTGAATCCAGGTGTTGTGCTGTCTCAGGGTGAGATGAGTGTGGACACCTGTCTGTGTGATGCATGGAATATTGTTAGTGTTACTTACAGTAAGTATCACCAAAACGTATGCATACAAAAAACAATACCACAGTTCTGTGACATTTCACGTTTGCTGATTCTGAGAGTCCTTTGTGCTGGAGAAGTCGAGGGCAACTGAGATGGCATCAGGTGTGTGCGTGTTTGGGCTCTTTGAAAGAACAGTGATCGGGCTAGACTTGACCTTGGACTTGCAGGCAAACACAGATCTAATACCCACTAATACACAGTGAACTTTAAATGAACAGTGCCTAATAGAAAATAAAAAAAAGCTCTGTGGGGCTCATGTCCCTGTAGGCTTCATTCTGACACTCACACTTCCTGAAGTCATTTTCCCTCATTCTCTGTGACTGCTCCCTTAAGCTGTGTGTGTGTGTGTGTGTGTGTGTGTGTGTGTGTGTGTGTGTGTGTGTGTGTGTGTGTGTGTGTGTGTGTGTGTGTGTGTGTGTGTGTGTGTGTGTGTGTGTGTGTGTGTGTGTGTGTGTGTGTGTGTGTGTGTGTGTGTGTGTGTGTGTGTGTGTTGCAAGCAAACAAACAAAAAAGCCATTGATGACTTGATTCCAGCTGTTTATCTTTGTACAGTATACATGGTGACAAATAGGCTAATACATCATGAATGAATTAATGAATGGATAGCCTACATTTAGAGTGAAATTTTTAATAAGATCGCACTTCTCTTTTTAAATTCTCAAAAAATGGGTTTGTAAACGCAAGCAAACTCAAACTATGCATCTATAAATGCATAACATCTCCATGCATATTTTCATGTTATTATCTTGATGCTTTGCCTGCATGGCCTACTTGGTCGAGTTAAAGGAGATCCTGATTATGTAATGTAGCTGTGTTGGAATCTGTAGGTCTACTGTTTCCACACACTTGAATGAGCTTTAAGAAAATGTCACTGGACATAGAATTACGCCTACAAAATGCTGAATGGTAAACTGAATAAAACCAAATGTAATAGTCATGCTAGACAATTAGAGAATGGGTTTATCTTGTCAATGCTATCTGCTGAGTTTGATAGGCACAGAAATATTCTGTCAATATCTGATTCCCAGTCAGCAAACGTATTTTGGACTGACAAAACAACATTTTATAGAGCAAATAAATTGTAATTTGATAACATCGTCCAATAGAGAAAAACATTATGGCCACTGTTCATTTGGTTAAATCCAATCCGCGTCTCCATGGAGCTCCAGAGCGTCTCTCAATGCCGAACGCACTCGGCTCTTTCCGTAAAGAGGAGCGGTTTTTGCCGAAGACACTCGGCTCTTGCCCTGTTATGGAGAGATTTATGACGAGGGTAGTTACTCTGCTTTTTTTGTTGTGGAGGAGTAATTAAAACCGGCTCTCGGCTCTTTTCGTTTCGAGAAACGATTAATGCCGAAGTCACTCGGCACTCTCCGTATGGAGGCGCGATTACAGCCGATTCCCTGCTCTGCGCTCGCGACTCTGGCACATCACTCATTAAGCGTTGTTTTGGTCTCGACCTATCCTACTTACAAGCGCTTTTCTCTCCAACAAGAAAATGGATACCGCTAACCAGGTAGGAAATATTTTAATGTTTTTGCATTTGACAATATCTATTGAAAATCACGAGAAGTGTTTAAAATGTAGTCGACTGAAATGTGCCTAATCAAACTGCATCAAATGACGTTATTGACCATGTTCATTGTTATTACTACAGATTGTGACACTTGGGACATTCCAAGCAGTGCCGATCCTGACCTCCCTGGGGCCCTAAGCTAAATTCTGCTAAGGGGCCCTCTACCTGACCCGTGAAGCCGTGAGCTATGTAAACCATTTGCCATTGCCACAGTCACACCTGACACTTCAGTTCTCCCAATACAATCCTCCCTCCTTTAAACCAAACAGTCAAAGAATAAGTACAATAATATAGAACAGAATGATATTTATTGAATAGAGTATTTTCTATAGAATATTAAGATAACAAGTGAATATTGTGTTGCAGATATCAATAATCCCTGTGAGTGATGACATCATTGAAATCAAGAATTAACTTTTGTACAAGTGAACATGTAATTCCTGATATCAGAAATAGACATTGGTAGATAAAAATGTAACTAAGGGGCCCTACTAGTAAAAAATAATCAAGAATTCACATTGCAAATAGTAAAAAAAAAAAATGAATTCTTGATATAAAAAATGCATAAACTGTGAATGAATAAAAGCTAAAATGGCTTGCCATATGTTAAAGGTTTGTTTTAGTATGCATGTTGAAGCAATTCTTGATTTATGGTTATTATTTACTGAGGGATGTGCATCCATATTGACCAGTATGTCCAGCTAATCAACATTTTAAATTCAATATAGCCTATAAATCAATAGTCAATCAATGTCAAATTGTCAATACATTGCTTTCCATCTTGCATAAGCAGTTGTTTAGAGTTTTTAACTACACATTGACTGAGACTAGATAATCAGTGTCTTGTTTTAAAAGTATGTATAATGTGTAATTTGATGAGGAGTGTCATCATTCAGGCCCAAATATTGTAGGCTACAGTATGTCTGGTCTCTCTCCACATATATTTCTGCTTGAAAAATGCGCGTTTCATTTCGTGCACGCGCATATGAACGTATGATAACACACGCGACGCGGTTATCTTTTCCGAGCCGTTGCACTTTAAAAAACACAATAGAAATGCACATAAACTTAACTTTACTTTGCTGACATCAAACTTGGAGAGGAGAGAACACAAGTTTACCTGATTGTTGTTTCCGCAATTCACTCATGTTTTTCCCCCCTCTTTTTGTGACCAGAAGGATAGTTTCGCTTCATTTTGTCATTGATGTTGTAAACATTAATTGACGCGCTATGACACGAGGGGGAGGCGGGGCCTTGAGTAATTTGCGGGGCCCTACGCAGCTTGCGTAGTGAGCGTATAGGGCGGATCGGCTCTGATTCCAAGTTCTTAAATTACCTCTGGGATTCATCCGCGTTCTGGAATGGGTAAGTGTGCATAAAGCACGCGTTTTTCCTCTCACCTTTCTCAAACTCTCTTTCCTTTACTTTTCTCAGTTGGTTCAATTAACTTGCTGCAGGCATGCGTAGGGGAGAAAGTGATTTTTACTATCGTTTTCTTTTCTTTTTTTTAACCATCATTCGTATGTTGTAGTCAGTTTTGAATAAGTCTATATGTGCCACAGCCATATTTATAATAGGACCCTTAATCCATTTGGGCATTTCTTAGCATCGGAATTGGGCACATAAAGGATATCTTACATTTCTAAGTTTTGAACCGTGTCATTTTTAAACATGTAAATTAGCCTACTCCTCATAAGTGTAGGCTAAGTGACATATTCTGCTGATGACATGATCAATCCCATAAATGAACGAGGGGCTCGGCGGGTTTATATAATGCACCAGCAGTCAATTTTTTTCATGGGTTCTGCTCTTACTCGTTTTTTACCGCAATAAAGAGGAAATTGGTCAATGTAAATGGAGTCAATTTTAAGATGACCTCCAAACTTGATGTCTTCGCAAATTGAGTGGAAATTGTAAATATATAATTGGTGATAGTAAGGTTTACCGTTATAGTAAAATCACTGCAGATTTTTTGCTTTCTGCACATGGTCTGTCCATGTATGGGAGCTGGTCCGTTTTTAAACAAGCCGATGAGTAAATACATAGCTAAATACATTTGCTTTGATATTTATTCCTTGTGGTAAGCTGATATTTGTGCAGTATATGCAATATATAATGGAGCATGTACTGGGACTTGTTTGTTTGCATAATATGTCACTTGTTTTATACTTGATGTACTTGATATACTTGATGTGTAACCAGAAATTACTATTCTGCCACTAATTGTAGCCTCTAGTGTGAAGAGAAAAAAAAAAAAGCTAAAATGTGTTTTCCCACGGCCATCTGATGAGTGTGGGTCTGGGAAGTGTGTGCCACACTCTGGTGCTCTGACACAATCTAGTTGATGAGACTCAGAAAGTATCAGATCTATAAGGACATGTCCAGTTGTACAGTGTATGTGTGTCCATCTGCAATTCTTTCTGGACTGTTAGTGGCAATATGTGGCTTTAGTACCCTATCAGGTTCTTTGCACAACAACAGGATTCACTGAAAGCAAAACTTATATAAATGGTCTTTTCATATGGGATGCTATCATTACCATATGGCAAGACATATCTGCAGAGCACTTGTAGCTCTTAAAGCTATTTACTCTGCTAAGAAAAACAATTGTGGTCTGGTCTGCCTTAAAAAACTATTTAAAATGGCTAATTTACTGCGTTATGGCCTGTTCCCCAGATGACAGAATAGAATAGAATAGAATAGAATAGAATAGAATAGAATAGAATAGAATAGAATAGAATAGAATAGAATAGAATAGAATGCACTCTTAGGAAAAAGAGGCTCAATGGGCTACAATATGTGTTCTTGACTCAGTTTTAAAGATCTCTTGCCAAAAATGTCTTAAATGATTGCAGAATACTTTCATGTTTCATGGGTTGTTTCATTTTTTCTAGTGATAAAGCATGTTTACTAACTGTTTAATTCATACAATTTTATTAAAATAAAAAAATAATTAATTAAAACTAAATTCATTAAATGACAGAACCCTTTAAGATGTTTCTTCTAATAGTGTAGAATATAGATATTTTTTAAATGAGCAATGTCTTCTATTTTTGCAGATATTGTATTTATTACATCAAAAACAGTATTTTTTACTGTGCCATCCTTATGTTCGCTGCAAAGTCAAAAGGTCAAGTGCTCTCTCAGTCCCTTTTTCCGTCATCAAACTGTGGAGAGGAGAAAATTAAAACATTTACAATGCCAACCATAAACGGCTCTGAGCTATGCAAATGTGAGGCAGGCATAAGTGGCAGCGCCATTTTGGATAATTATTGCAATTGAATGCTGGGGGATTGGAGGATGCGATGCATCTTCTCCTGAGGAAATTAATCTCCCCGCTCTCCATTTGAAGTGTCCTCTGAAAAAAAAAAAAAATTAGAAGCTTATCACTGGGAAAACATGCAGTCTTAATCACTTTTGGTCACACAGTGGCTTTTCTCTGTGTGTTTCTGTCTGTATCTCTCTCTGCAGGTCTTTAGTTTTGTAGTTACTGTAGTTTCCTCTCTGTCCGTTTTTTTTTTCTTTCCTTTTTACACAGTGATTTCTGCACAGCCACCTCTTGATATTTTCTCTCGACCCCACCCCCATGTCTCTCAAAAGCAATTATTCGTGAATCGTGATAATTAACCAATTATTAAGCTGTTGAAATTAGATGACTCAGTGAGAACAATGACACATTAAAATATGCAAAATTATGTATTATGGACAAGTGGATAAATGGTTGGTTGGATGGATGGATATATAATAATATAATATAATAATATAAGAGTGCATTCAACAATACAGCTAGCCGTGGATTATCCCGCTCATACCATGGACTTTTGCCAGCATTGACAAGTTAAATCTGTCATTGATGTTTGCAGTGCTAAATTTGACTGGAAGGGTTACAATTTTCATTCGTTAGATCTAGCATTCTGTCCTCTTTAAATCAGAGACAGAGATAAAGTAGCGCGGTTACATTAATTTGTATGAATTACAACATTTGTATTAATGAATTAGCCTATCGCTGGATCGAGAGAGAGAGAGAGAGAGAGAGAGAGAGAGAGAGAGAGAGAGAGGCTTTGTTTACACCTGGTATTAAGATGCATTTTGGACTGACCTAATCAGTAAACATTATGAGAAGTGTGCTAGCCAGACGGCCAGGATTTGAAGACCCAAGTGTGGTTTGAGGAGGAAAAACATACCAAGCACAATGTTCTCTCACCATTCCTGATTTCTAACACGCACTCGCAGCATTCGCCGTGGTTTTGCGGCTGTCAGAGCAGAAACTAAAACTGATGTTTTTCGTGTTTTTCTGTTGTCTCCAGGCGTGTTCATATGTAAACTGCGCGAGCTTATGTTGTCCATTAGATCGAAAGATCTGGAAAAAAAAAACCATACATTTACCCTCCCATAGACCCTCCCCTATAAGAAATCAGGACATGGTCAAAAGTGGACAAAAAATACGGATTAAAATACCAGGTGTAAATGGTTATGTGTCTCCCTCATATACTTGTGATCCAATCGACCAAAACGCATCTAAATACCAGGTGGAAACAGGGCCAGAGAGAGAGAGAGAGAGAGAGAGATGTGTGTGTGAGTTACCTGCATCTGTACAGAGTCTCTCTCTACAATAAAGCTGTGAGTTTAATTATTTCAAAAACAGAGCTGTTAAAACCGATTAATGTAATGTGGCAATTCAGTAGCGAAGTTCATTTATTAATAAAAGTCGTGGGCAGCATTGACAAGTTTCTGTGCTCCTGTTAATAGTGACCTATACGTGTGTGTGTGCTTCAATGAAAGCAGCACATTAATATAGAACAATGATTCAACTGACTTAGAAATATTGTGCATTAAAGGGGTGGTATAATGCCCTTTTCACAAGATGTAAAATAAATCTCTGATGTCCCCAGAGTGTATGTGAAATTAGATATCAGATATTTTTATATAGCATGTTAAAATTGTCACTTGTCAAAAACTTTTAGCCTTTTATGTTCAAACAAAGATGGAGAGACTCAAGAAGAAGTGACAACACGTAGACAACATTTCTGAATGGTTAGTTGATGAATCTATGTAGCTTATGTGTAGTTTTCTTCTAGTCATTGATTAGCATATTCAGTCGGATAATCTATAAATCGTGTTCAGGGGGCGGGGTTTATGAACATTTTAGGGTTTGTGAAGTCACTAACCCGGGAGGAATGTAGTGTAGTCCCTACCAGCCGTTTGTTGTAGTCCTTAAAAAGCGATTTCTTTAAAAGAAAATGTCTCCCTTTGCTTTGAACTTTGAGTGTCGTAACTTTGCAGATGTTGTTTATGCTCAAACAGCAACATTACACACTAACTAAAGTTAGAAAAGTGAAATCATAATCAACCAACACTTTAAATGATGTTTTATTAACAAAGTTCGGGAGGAGCACGTTCAGATAATTAAACCTAATTAAACACACGTGGAGCACATTCAGATAATCAAACCTAATTAGACACGAGTGGTGCTTAATCAACGAGTTAAGCGCTGTGTATATATACAGCAAACTAACCTCCGTTCATTGACAGTTTAACAGCATCCCTCCACCACCCCATCTCCTCACTTAGTCCTAATACTCTTACAACAACGGGGGGAGTACTCTGGGTTCGGGCAAAATTCCGAGCTCGGAGCCCTCCCCCCGGACAGCACGCCAAATACGCATAATCTTTACTCTGTTTAATTGATGTAAGTGTGAACTCGTGAAATGTTTTTATTGCACACCTTCCAGCCAGTCAGAAAAGACATTTATATTATGTTATCCATTTTACAAAAAGCTTGTCCGATGTAAGATTGGGTGGATGCTGGATGCTTATATTATATTATATTATATTATATTATATTATATTATATTATATTTTATTATATTATATTATATTATATTATATTATATTATATTATATTATATTATATTAATTACAGACAAATACAATACAAATTGTACCGGTATTTAAAAAACAACATAAAAGGATACATATTATATTTGTTTTGGCTAAGAAACCTTAAGTAGTTTATGAAGTCAATTTGATTTTTTTTAAACGTTTTGACTGCGGAGACTGAGCAGACTGGTGATTCATTGATGTAAAGTTGACTGACGGATGGAAGAGGGTTTTACAAATTCACAGAAGAAATGTTCTTTGACTTTAGATGTTCATCAGTTCACTGGAAAGGTTGACTAACTTTGGGCAGATGTGCTTTGGCTGCCTGTGCGCAGATGTGCAGAAATTCATCTGTGAAAGGTTGGCTGCCTCTCCGTTTTTCGATCTCGAATGAGGCAGTGGTTTCATGACCCACCTTTTTGTCACATGGATGAGACACAACAGAGGAAAGACTGAAGAGCTAAACCGAATCACACCACACTATC